CCCCCACCCCCCCCCCCGCACCCCCCCCCACCCCCACCCCCACACCCACACCCACACCCACACCCACACCCACCTGTATGTCCCACCATATTCAAGATCAGTTTTATGGCTGGGCAATCGCCAATTATATCATAGAAAATTATATGAAATGATGTTGTAGGAGAGTTTATTTTTAAACCTAAAACAAAAACAAATACACAAATTAATGGAAGATGCACAACATTCATTCTTTAAACAATGTATGCTACAGTTATTTCAGCTTGCTAATTGGTTTTATCACAAAAAGAAATTTGAAGAATTATTTACTGTATGAGATGTTCTGATGAACATTCAGATATGTTTGTTATACCTTTTTCCTTCAGTTGTTTCATGATTGTTAAACTAGATTCAAGCCATAATTTAACATCAGGTTCGGTATATCCGATATACATCGATAACAAAATCATATTTTGCCGTCGAATACGAATGTTTGGTGGAAGTTCAATGATCGATGCACTAAATAGCCATAATTTAAGTTTTGTTGATTTAACAAGACTTATGCCATCGATATGTAAAATTACAGACAAAAGATTTTTGCCTGAATGCTGGATTAATAATTTTTTATATTGTTTACCAAATGGAATATCATAAGATTCTTCATTAGATGTATTTAAAAAAATCTTTGTATTGTTAAATTTCATTTTTTAATCGAGATACAATTTTTGTTAATAAAAGTGAAATATTAGTATCAAGAATGTGAGCAACATGTTTAGTTTCAGCTGTTAAACAATTATTACATTTTGTTTGATTATTTTGTAAATTTTTTGGACATAAAATACAAACGGTTCTTTTTTGAAAATAATCGACAATATTTAAATGTGCTGATAAATTATTCATATTTGATGGAATTGAATTTGGAACAGGTAGCAGACTTTTAATAAACAATAACAATTTATTTGCACTGGTTTTACTAATTTGAGATTGACGAATAAGTTGTAAAAATTTAAAACAAACATTATCACGTAAAATATTTGTATGTTGATATAATAGAACTTGATGACTTTGTTCCGATTGAGAATTAGCTTCTTCATCACTATCTCCTTGTAAAAAAGTAAAAATTAAAATACATATAGTGACAAAAATAAAAAATCAACACTATTATATAAGTTTACCTCCAGTTTGAATTGTAAAACTTTCAAATTTTTTACTTTTATCCATATTCAAATAATTTGAACTATTGCTTGATGTTAATTCTTGTTCTTGAACAATTGTTTTTGATGTAAGAAATGCACTATTATTTACATCTTGTAAATAGTCACTGTGTAAATATTGATCATAATTTGTGATAATGGAACTACCTGTTCCATTTGTATTGTTGTGCAAAGTACTAATTGAATCATTCCATTTAAATTCATCATTTTCTTCTTCAACTGTGAAGTGGTAAGCTGTTGCAGTGAAACTTTCAACAATATTCTTTGCTAAATCAATATGATATTTGTAATTTTTACGTTGTAAATCTAATCTTTTCTTCTTTCTCTAACGACCTATCTCTATCAAATCATTGATTCTCTTTTGTTGATTCATTTTAATAAAAATTTACTAATCACATTTACACCTGACAAGAAAATCAAAGTAATAAAGACAAGATAAACTTATTTAACAATGATGTGCGCAATTTACTTTCGTACATTATAGAATAGATAATACAGACTAAAAACACCGACGAGAAGATTCTTCGTCATTTTATAAGCAGACGTCGGTGAATGTGTCGGGTATTAGGAAGAGAAAAATAAGATAAAGTAAGAATCAATTTCTTATCGTTTCTGATGATATACGTACAATGTCTTTATCTGTTCTTCTATCTTTTATGAACTTGGAGTGAAAAAATAACTTATTCGACATTACTATCTAAAATAACAATAAATTTGATTGGTCAAACTAATTTAACAAGTGGTATAACTTTATTATCAGATAGACACTAATATATAGAAGATGTATTTTCAAAACTAAAGGATGCATCATTTAAATTAGAACGTATTTAATCGCTTAAGAATTTATTCCAACACATGGAACTACCCAGGTCGACAAATTAGACAGTAAGATCTTATAAGATCCTACGTCTGATCTTATATGATCTTTTAAGATCAGATGAAAATCGTACGAAAAATCGTGGTTCATGCAATCTTATATTAAGTCGTACTATAAGATCCATCCAAAATCTTGCTGTCCGGTAAGATTTCACTATAAGATTACCCAGGGCGAACATTCAGATAATAAGACCTTACAAGAATCGTACGTTTGATCATATTTGATCTGATACGATCAGACGAAAACCGTACGGAAAATCGTAGTCTCTGATTTC